AGGAGGGAGCTCTGGGGAAAGCACGGATTCGGCCAGTGTTTCATCCTGTGAGTTTAATCACTCGGAAAGTGAGGATGTCTGCGTGACTCCCATCTCCAGTCCTGAGGACCCTCTGAAAAAGGTACAGCTGGGGCCTGGGTGCCACCATGAGCAGCTGTGAGAGGCTCTGCATGCTGCAGCCCCGTGACCCTTGCCCAAGGCTCTTGGTCTTGACTAGAGCGTTGCTTTCAGTGTGAATGGAGAGACTAGAGAGATAAAAGTGTAAAAATGGAAGTGATCCAGTCAGGTTCTTGCACAATCCCTTCTGTATTGCCTTTTCCAGTGGTTTTGATCCTACCGGGAAGCTTTTGAGCAAAGCAGATGGAGAGAAAGGCAAACCCTGAGCAGCAGGGGAGGGAAGGGGGCAGTTTCAAGAAGAATGGCAGAGAGGGAAGGGTGGGTTATTTCCACTCGTGTGAAGGCTCCCACCTGGAGCAGGGGTGCCTGTGACTCCCTCTGTTCCTTCCCAGCCAGTCCCAGTTCCTGGCTGCTTGCCCACAGCCTGGATGCTATTCCTTGGATCTGCTGCCACCTCCTGGGCTGCTCTTATTGTGAGCCCAGAGCCCAGCACACCCAGTGGGACATAAATTGTCATTAAAATGGTGGAATCAATCAAGTTCAGCTTTTCTGGAGGCAAGGAATCCCACAGCCAGCCTGCTGGGCAGAGTGTATGTGACTGAGGTTATGTCTGTGCCTGCTGCTTTCTCCTGTTCTTCCTGCAGAATGACACAGGCAGACAGACAAAACACCCCATTTGTGACAGTGCTTTTCTTTGTCGTGTAGATCCCTGGATACCCCTTATCCTCCTGTTCTCCTGACTCTTCCACGAGCACACCTTCCTCAGGGGTGTCACCTTTACCCTCATTCCCTACTTTGCTGCCCTCCAGTGATGACAAGAGCTCTGTTGGCTCCGACAAGGGCTATGACTCCGACAAGGGCTCCATCGGCTCCGACAAGGGCTCTGGCTCCAACAAGTGCTCCATCTTTGACAAGGGCTCAGGCTCTGACAAGTGCTCCCTCTTCGACAAAGCTTCTGGCTCTGACAGTGGCCCTGTCTCCGACAAGAGCTCTGGCTCCGTGACATGCAGCACTTCCAAAGTGCTCCCTGTTTACAACCGGCAGAACGGAGGCGCCTGCATCATCCGGGTCAGCATGGATGGCATCAACGACAGCGTCTACAAGAGCATCCTGGTGAGGGGCACAGAGCTGGCAGTGGCTGACCTTCTCACCCAGGGTGACTGAAACAATCCCTGCAGTCATGAGGGTTATTAATGACAAGAGAGATTAGAAACAAACAACCCTTCCCAAGGTGTCGGGAAAAGGAACAGTTTTAGCGCTGGATTATAAATTAAGTATCTATTGTGTAATGACTTCCCTGAATGCAGAAGCAAAACAGAGGAAGTGAGGATAAAGTCTGGACTGTTATTAGTCTAAACTGTTATAGACATGCAAAAATTCCTTGCAGGATTTTAATATGAAAATTCAGGTTAGCCAAAAGGCATTTGATAGTGGAAGCAATCTTCCTTCATGCTGGAGAAGGAAAAAAAACATCATGGGGATGTGGCCCAATTTGGTGGAATACCACAAAGAGTCAAACAGTTCAAACAGGAGGTGGGTAGAGAACAGGGACATGCAGCTAGACACGGGAAACAAGAAACTAGCAGGAACTCAGGGAGAGCTGCATGGAATAAAGCAGAGCTCAAAGACTGAAGTCAAAATATCCGCACTCTGAAGTGTTTTGCAAATGAATACTGTAGAAAAGCAGTGAGTGACATCTCTCTAAACTGCATTAAATCATTAACTGCTTGCTGACGTAGCATCTAATGCACCCTTCTTTTGAGAACACTTCACTGAGCTGACTCATCAAACCTGGCTGGAAAGGGAAAATGACAAATGATACCATTCAGAATATGTGGAGTGGGGTAGGAATGAGAGGTTTGAAAAAAACAGCAGCTGGTCTGGAAATCAAAGTTTGTGTTTTACCCAAAAGCTCCAAGGGAAGCACTGTGATCATGTGCAGGCCTTGCTGCTTCTGCCCTCCTGCTGCACCAGCTGCTTTTCCTCCAGCTCAAAACTGGCGTGCAGATTTTGACACAAGATGCCACATGCCAAGTTCTCCCTGGAGAAGCTTCCCCAAAGGGCTGGTTTCTGGCAACAGGGAGCTGTAGGGGAGAAAGCTGACAACCCTTTACTTCTGCAGCCTCTCTGTGTGGTGGTGGTTGCCATAGCAGCAGCCCCAGCATTCATTTCCCTCTCTGCTGGTTCCATGGAGGGATCCTGGCAGTGCCGGGCTGTGAGCACCCTCAGGGCCTGCCTGGGGGAACACACACACAGCAGGGTAGTGCTTAGCACCTTTAGCTCCCTTCTGATTTCAATGGTGGGACCTCCCCAAACGCTACACGCTGTTTCCTGAGGGCCTGACAAATTTGGCTACTGGTGAGATGGCAGAAGGCTCTGGAGGGAGCCCCGTGTCTGCTCCGGATGCACAGCACTTCCACAGCAGACAGCAAACCCAGCCACCAGGCCAAAAATCTCTGCAGGATGTCAATGGAAGTGCTTAGCACAGGAGTCTGCAAACAGCAGATGGGGCAGCTGTTTCTGTGGGCTTTTGTGGCTTGTGAGAATGATGTCCCACCTCTCAAAGCTTTGCTCAAGAGCACAGACACTGATTTACTGCTGTCTCATCTAGTGCTGTATCTGTCATCTTGAGCTAAAAAGCCACCACCTCCCAGTGGCACAAACACCACATTTTAATATCTGTCAGCACCTACCACTCTGTTACTGACCCATTATGGTTTTTTCAGTTCTGTGACATCTTTTCCAAAACCAAACAGGTTTTTGCTAATTCCTAAATCATTACTCTTGTGAGTAAGCAGAATCTCTCATTGCAACTCTTACCTTTCCAGATAACTAACCAAGACAGAATTCCTGATGTCACCCAGAGAGCCTTGCTGAAGCACAACCTGGAGCCTGATGCAGTGGAAGATTACGAGCTTGTGCAGGTCATCTCTGAGGACAAAGGTAGGGAAGCCAAACTGCTGCTGCCTGAAAAGTTCTGTTGGATTTTGAAGGAAAGAGTAAAATGTGAAGCACTAGAAATGCCATGAACAGGTCCCAGCTGCCAACGAGAACAACCCCCTGGATGCTCAGGGATGACTTCTCAGGGCCTGTCAGCACATCCCACTTCCCATGGGCAGAGCCAGCTCCTGGGCTGCCAGGCCAACCTTCCCGTGGGCACTGCGGCTGCAGGGCAAGCGTGGGGTCTGGGTGGTGGGGTTCTGCCTCGCTGGGACCAGAGCATGCAGATCCCTTCAATCACTGGCTTCCTACACAGCCTCCTCTGGGAGAGGCTGCCAGGGCCTCCCCCAGCCTTGACACAGCCCAGGCTTGGCCTCCACCTCCTGCCCTGCTCCCCCTTCCCTGTGGGAGAGCTGCTGTGGGCAGCTCCCGATGCCACTCTGGCCCAACAGGGAAAGCCCCCCACGCTCCGTTGTTCCCTGCTCCCTGTCCTTTCCCAGCTTTCCTTGGCGCTGACGCTGCTCTGGGCCCTGTTTTGCAGAGCTGGTGTTCCCACGCGATGCCAACGTGTTCTATGGCATGAACAGCCACGTGAACTTCGACTTCATCCTGCGGAAGAAAGCGGAGCTGGTTGGCTGAGACTTCACCTTCGCTGCCGTCCAGTTTTAGGGGTGGATGTGTCAGTATTACCTGTTGAAAACGTGCAATTGGAGGACGGGGCAGCCCTGGGGCAAGAGGCTGCCACCTTTGTCTTAAGGGACACCCCGCGAGCCAACTCTCTTTGTGAGAAAACAGTCTCCTTCGTGCCAGTATTACACAGAAGATCATCTGAATTTATTTTTACACAGCTGAAGAAAGTTCTGAGTGCACGTCTGCCTGAACCAGCCAAAGGCTTTTTGCACTTGTTCTGCGCCAGAGAATTAACCTGTTTTGGATCTGGTTTCCAAAGAACTTTAAAATGAATGAACTGCACTTGCCTTTGGATGATCGTCATGAATTGTTCGTGAACGGGACAAACACACACTGCGTGTGTTGGATTGAGGTCTTAATGCCATGACAGGGTGGTTTGCCTTGGACTGTAACCCAGGGAACAGAACTGAATGCCTTTCTCATGTGATGGATGTACCTCCTCCTCATGTGCAATTACTCTCCATGAGCAGAACTTTTAAATTTTTTAAAAGCCATAAGTGAGACGCTGGATTGTAAACAGCCCTTATTTGAGATATATGAAATAGATACAGTGTTTCTGTAGATAGCATTGTGCAAATTTAGGAGTTAGTTATTATCCAAATAGATAACTTAGGACTGTTAAGGATCATTAGTTAAAATAAGAGTTTTATCCATGCCTGGGCCTTTCCCCCCTCAGTTCTGTCGCACTAATTTTCAAAACTGGGCTCAGGTTCCATAAGTTTTACACTACATTTGGATTTATCACTTCTGTTTACAAGTAGGTAAAACAGACCTATTGTAGGTCCAACAGGCCTGTTGTACATCCAAGAGACCTATTGTAGGTCCTAGTCTGAACAGTTTATGAATTCCAGCTGTATCTTGGTTTAGAGGGTGGTAGAGGGAGGGGATTGTTACTGAGCCTTAACCTTTGCCCAGATTTAGGGCAAGACTAGAAGTTTTCTCTGCATTTTGGTTCAGTGTCAGTGTCTGTACAGAGCAGTTTCCCATGTACATACAGCATAGTTCCTAATGTATATAGTACTGTTCACTCAGAGGTTGTATGTCTGTGTTAAGCTGAAAAGTGAATGTTCTGGATTTTAAAATTACACTCTCCAAATGTTTATATATAAGAGGTTTTTAATTGCTTACCTGTAATCTTTATATGATAAGTATATAAATTGTTTTTCATTAATGTTTGCCTGGAGTCAGTTGATTTTCTTTTATTACTGCATGTCAGTTGTGGGGCTTTTACACCTCACAGCACTTCCCTCACTGTCATTCTCTTCAGCTTCTTCACTTTTACTGTTTTAACTTCTAAACAGCAAAGCCAAATCCATTGAGAGCACAACAGCACTCTTCCATCCTGAGCCAAAATCTCCAACGCTCAGTGAAAGCCTTTCCCTGCTTCCCCCTTTAGGCAAAGGAAAAAAAAAAAACTATAGAAACTGAGAGAAACTGAAATCAACCGGATTATATAAAAAAATATATATTTACAATTTTATATACAAGACCTGTCACCTTCAGCCACTGGAAGAGAGAAGAGAGCAAAGGCCTCTTATCTGCACCTTTTCTATGCTGTGTTACGGAAAGGGATGACATGGAATACTTAGATTCCTGACCCTGTTGCTAAGGAAGGCCTAAAAATCCAAAAAAACCAACCCACTACACATCCTTAAGCCAAAGCAAAGACAGAGCTGTTGGGTCCAAGCAGTCTTATTGCAATTAATAATTTTTAGGGCCTATCACCACAACCTTTCCATGTGAAGAAGCTGCCAAAGGCTGGTTCAAAGCTGGTGCTGCTCATCAGCTTTGAAGCCCTTTAGATGAGTCAAAAAACCACGAAGTTAAGTAAGTACATGGAAACTGGAAAAATACCAGAACAATCCACAAGTGTTCCAACTGGCTCCTACTTTTCCAAAACACGGTTATTTCTGAGTAGGGCAAAGCCTGGCCAGCACCTGCCAAGGAACTGAAAACACAGACAGGGAACAGCACTTGTCACAAGGGTAGAACCACTGGCATCCCCCAGGCCTTGCATATGTCAATAAATAATTTTTGTATGTATAAACACACAAGGTAAAGGAATGATCAGCAAGACTGAGGCCTTGTCTGCTCTGAAACAGGCATAGTCATTTAATTCATGTATTCTTAATTTGTTCCTTTCCCTGAAAGCACCATCAACCCCCCTGAACCACTCGCTTCCTGAGTCAACTAAAAGGAAAAAATACACAAAAAACCCAAGCTAAAAAACCCAGCCCTGTTGTAAAGTTGTTTTTCATAAACTGCTACTGCTCTGCTTAAGGAAATCAGACCTTTTCTATCTTTTATTATTTGAATGAGGTTAAAAAAAAAGGGGGGGTGGGGGACAGGAGAGGGCTCAAACTGCTTGTATTTTTAAAAAATCTATGCTTTGTTTCCTAGTGGGGAGCACCTTGTGCTGACACAGGGAAATCCCATGGCAGGGGGAAGGAAGGAAGGAGGCCACTCGTAGACTCAGAGGTGGGTCTATCACAGAACAACAAGCACATGAGGGTGGAAGAGAGGTGGCTCTTGTATCCACAGCAACACCTGCCAACGTGCTGGATGCTCACCTGGTCATGGAAATCCTGCTGCAGGCCACACCAAGCATCCAACCAACACCTCTGGGGTTTCCAGTGTCCTTCAAACAGGCCAGACTTGAGCTGGGACAGTGAGACCTGCGGAGGAATCAAAAGGGATTGTGAAGAAGGAACCCCACCCAGGCTGTGCACAGGGCCCACAGGGCACCTCCATACTCACCAGTCCTGTGGGCACCTGCTCCCAGCTGGACAGCAGAAGGAGCACAGCCTCCAGGTGGGAGCTGCAGAACAGGCACATTTATACCTCCAGTGACTCCAGGGGAGAGTGACACAGCTTAGAATCCCTTTGATGGCCTTCAATTAACCTGAACATTTAACACTCAAGGCCAGGTTGGACAAGGCTCTGAGCAACCTGGTCTAGTGAAAGGTGTCCCTGCCCACGGCAAGGGGTTGGACTGGGTGACTCTTAAAGGTCCCTTCCATCCCAAACCATTCCATGATTCTCTCACTCAATGAAGAACACACACAGCTGCTCATCTTGCACCAGGTTCTATGTATTATCAGACCGGCTGACAGGTAATAACATGTCTTCTTTAGCAGAAAGCACAACACTGATCAGTAATTATTAAAAACAAACACAAATTAAAAACAAAACCCCAGCCACACATACTCAATGCACAGATCTGCCAGCAGGTGAGTCCCTAGATGGCAATTCCAGGAGGGAACCCTCCCACTGCCCAGCAGGCTCAGGGTCTGTGCCAGCTGCTCTAAGCAGGGTAGTCCGTGATCACCTGGCCTCTGAGAAAGGTTTTTTTTAAAAAAACAATAAACACCATACCCTGCTGGCATGTGAGCCAACAGCAAGTACATCAGAACTCATCCGAAAAACAGACAAGTTTGCTCCTCACATGAAAAAGTATCCAGGCAAGTTGCCTTTCTGTCCTGTAACACACAATTCTATTGGGCTGTCGAGACAGTAACACTGCTGTAGGTTGTTTCAGTTTAATAAAGAGAGTTTGTAACCTACCTTTTTAGGTTTTAAGTTCCCAAAACTCCCACACTTGCTTTTATGGCCTAATTAAACAGGCCTGCAAAGAAGTTGTGGGGCTTTGTTTTCCTGAAGGAATAAACTGAGGCAGGGGGTAAAGCAGGACATGACACCGACTAACTCCCCCTGTGTTCCCTTCAGGGAGACAAATAAAACCAACCACCTGCACTCCCATGATTTTAGACATGCCAAGACATCCCTTCTGGATTGGGAGGCCTTTTTAGATGGGATGTAGCAAGATTAGAAATGAGCTGGGGGAAGCCAGCACTGACTGTGATGGGGGAGGACGACAGAGGAGCGCTGCTCCCCTGCACTGAACATTTCTGGGAAACACCTCGATTCTGACAAAAATCCCTTTGGAAAACAAATCCAAATCCCCCAAACGCTCAGCAGTGAGGGTGGTAAAAGCCTACAGACCTACAAGGAGTGAGGCAGCAGCCCAGGTACAGCCATCCCAAAAGGCATTAACACTTGTACACCTCTATATATTAATCTTTATAAATACAGTGTTCTACACGAGGAACTGAAGAAAGATGTCATTCCAGGCTGGTATTTTGTTTTTTAACAAAAGCTTTCCAAGGGCTTTTGTTCAGCTCTCTGCCAGTCTGGAACACTTGTTCTTTTTCCTCCTTCATCCTCCACCCTGTCCTCAAGGGCCCGGGCAGGCATCTGGTCCGACCGCTGCACTCGGCCATTGGAAGCAGCGGGAAAGGAGAGACCACATGAAGAGCTGCTCTACAACTTTCAAGGGTGAAAAGCAAAAGTGTGAGGCAGGTTCAGCTGTCACAGAGTTCCTGGGAAGCGGGCAGTCATAGCTCATCCCTGGATGACGGCGCGTTGAGGGACGACTGGGAAGGCAGGGCATCCTTGTTCTGGGCGTCGCTGTGGATCTGGCCCTGCTGCCGGGATTTCCAGGAGTGTGTTCTGTCCCAGTCCGTGGACACGGTCTCGTTGTCCCAGATGGTGGAGGTCTCTGTGTCGCTGAGGTAGCCCGGCTGCCCTGTGTAGTGGGTGGGGTAAACGAGCAGGGGTTCTGCCGAAAAGGCTTTCAAGTCTCTGGACTCATAGTACTCCATGTACTTAGTGCTGCAGAGGAGAGAAATGCTGTCAGAAACAAGAGTGGATCTTCACTGGCACTAGGCTGGGGAGACAGGTCAACCCACTGAGCAGGGGGTCCCAGGGAGTGGGGGTAGCTGCTGGGGTACAGCCTGGCTCTCTACAGCCAGAACCACACGCCTTACAACCACACAGCTGTACAACCAAACCCTGTTCCCACAGACAGCCAAGCCCCTCAGAACCAGCCCACAACCCCCGCCCCAGGCAGGGACACCCCCCACTGTCACCTTCTTCGATCTACGTGGGGAGGGCGCAACCAACAAGCACAAGGAGTCCCCACTAAGCAGGCCACCAACATGATCCAGCTCAAGACCAGCCAGCAGGTCCCAGCTCGTGTCCCCCCCGAGCCTGGAGGCGTCCGACTTACACAGGGTGCTTGTTGTACATGACTGGCAGAAATTCATCCACGGGCAGCATCTTGCCAAAGGGCTCAGCTCCGATGAGCTTCTGAGCCCCGTGGAAAGAGATTGCATAGCCCAGGGTCCAGTAGGAGTAATCAGCTTCCACCAGGTTCCTGACATTGGGAACAGCTTTCTCAGGCTCCTGCACCTGCATCCTTTTCCGGCCAATGTAGCTTAAAGGGTGAAAAGATTGAGGAGATTGGGATCAAAGTGAGTTCGCAGCAACCAGGATCACAAGACTGTCAGCCAGGGCAGGGCAAAGGGTCAATCCAAGAAGCAATCCCTGACTTGGCTCACAGATTTCTGTCCTGCACCTCTCCCAGACATCCAAGTCTAACCCCGTGGGTGGTACCACTGTGAAAGGCTCCATAAGGAACTAAGACGACACGGTCCAAGGCTCAGGACTGAGCTGTGCCAGTTCCTCTGTCACAGCAGCATCTCCTACACTGCTGAGATCAGCCAATGCTGCCCACAAAGGGCAGTGATGGTGCCCACTGGGCATCCAGCACCAGCCTGCCCCAGAAGGCAGATCTGCTCCGATGGGAAGAGCCACTGAAGTGTCTGCCACTGTCCCCTGCACTCCAGCATCAACCTGCAGCTCCCCTCTGCCATGACCCAGCAGTGCTGCCAACCCCTCACGTGCCCAGGAGCTCCTAGATGGTTGAGGACCAGGAACTTACATAAGCTCCCAGTCTAGCTGGGCTTGTTCAATGTCATCCATCAGCTTCATGAGCTTCCTCTTAAACTGGTGCTCAAAGCGCACATCATCCTCAATGACGAGTGTCTTCTCCAGTCCCCTGTTCACCACCTGAGACAGGGGGGTTCACAAATGAGCACGGTGGCCCACATGGGCAGCCTGAAGTTGATGGGGTCACCCTGGCCTGGTATGGACACCTTCCACTAGCCCAGGTTGCCCCAAGCCCCGTCTAACCTGGCCTTGGACACTTCCAGGGATCCAAGGGCAGCCACAGCTTCTCTGGGCAACATGGGCCAGGGCCTCCCCACCCTCACAGCCAAGAATTCCTTCCCAGTATCCCATCTAACCCTGCTCTCTGGCAGTGAGAAACCATTCCCCCTTGTCCTGTCACTCCAGGTCCCTCTCCAGCTCTAGGAGAGCCCCTCTAGGTAGCAGAAGCTGAATGCTGTGTTGAAGAAAACCCCTGCAACCCAAGGAAATCAGTTCCGTCCTACACTTCCAGAAAACTGTACTGGATTTCATGCTCTGCCCCAGGACTGGCTGTGCACTCACAGCACCCTCCTGCAGGAATGCCAAGGCACCCAAACTCCGTACCTCCTTCCAGATGTAATAGTGGCTAAGGAAGCAGCCGATCTCTCCTCTGGTCAGTGGCCTGGAGGAATACGGGTCCTGGTATCCCGGGAGCATTTCGATGCTGAGAGCTTTGAGCTGACTCGTGTTCAGTGCTCTGGGAAAGAGAGAATATCTATCACCATTTCAGAAACACAAACCAATTCAAGCCAGATACAGGCACAAAACAGGGAATGCTGCTCATGTTCAGGAAAAAGCCACACCTCAAGAAATTCCTCCACTTGTTTTGCTCAAAAACACGGAGGAAAATAACTTCTAAAGCTGAGAAATCATATCCTTAACTCTGCCAAAGACTTCTTTTGAGACCACCAATCTTCCTTAACTATGCCAAGGACTTCTTGTGGGACCATCAGCACATCAGGTGCTTGGCTTCAATTATTTTCCTTCGATTATTTAGCCTAAGTTTATTTTCCTTGGCTAAGACTATTTTCCCATCCTTGAAGGGATCCCAAGTCTCCAAGACCACTAGATGGCATGTGAGCTCCTGTCTCTCCGAGGCCTTTTTGCAACTCATAGACCCAAAATTTCAGCAGACCTTGATTTTTCCATTATAAAATGATCTTAACATACCTTAGAATCATGAATCATTTAGGTTGGAAAAACCCTCTAAGATCGAGTCCAACCATTAACCCAGCACTGCCAACCCCACCATAAACCATGTCCCCAACTGCCACATCTACAGATTTTTTGAACACTTCAGGGATGGGGACTTCACCACTGTCCTGGGCAGCTGTGCCAGGGCTCAACAACCCTTTCAGTGAAGAAATTTTTCCCAGCATCAAACCTAAACCTTCCCTGGCACAACTTGAGGTCATTCCCTCTCCTCCTGTCCCTTGTTCCCTGGGAGCAGAGCCCGACCCCCCCTGGCTCCCCCCTCCTGTCAGGGGGTTGCAGAACCAGAAGGTCCCCCCTGAGCCTCCTTTTCTCCAGGCTGAGCCCCCCCAACTGCTCCTCATCAGAGTTGTGCTCCAAACCTTAGAGTAAGCTTGGGAAGGGCTGGGTCAGGGCTAATGGCAGCACAACGTAGCCCTGGGATGGACAATGTTCTCAGGAGATAACTGCACAATTCACAGAAATCAGCACGATTTTAACCTGATTTTCACCTTAGTCTGAACCCCACTGCCCTGGTTCTCTCACAGACACTAATTGCAAAAGAAGAAAGAAACAGAGCAAAACTGCCCCAAACAGTTGTCAGGGAGATAAAAGGGGCCCTCAAGCCCCACCAGAAGGAGGTCAGGGCATCCAAGGAGATGCTATGAAGCAGTTAAGCACATCCCACTCATTGAAAACGTCATCAACCCCAATCAAAACTCACTTTCCATCCACAGCCTCCACTATCTTGACTGCAATCTCCTGCTCGTAGAGAGTCCGCAGCATCCGATCCCGCCTGTCCTTCCGGCGCTTCAGATTGATCATGAAAATCTGGGTAAGAAGAGGAAGACATCAGCCTCCCTGCTGGGGAGGGAGGGAGGAGAGAAGTCTTGATCCACTCTTCTCCAGCAGCCCCTCTGGAAAAGCAGGTCTTGTGAAAATAACAGGTGTTTTTTCATTCCAGGTCGCTTAGAATTTGTCAAAAAATTGGGAGTTGGTTTTGAGTTGAAAGCCTAGAGGCTCGTTCTCTTCCTAAACAACTACTTTTGATAGATGTTCACGGGGGAAATTTGCTCTTTGAGGGTGAACAGAAGGGAGGGGAGACCAGTTACAGCCAAGTCCATAATTTCCAAAGATGCAGGATGTTTAGGTTTATATTAAGCACAGAGTAACGCAGCCACCTGCAGCCTCAGTCCCACAGGAACACTGACCCACAATGCTGCCACTGCCTGGACTGACTATCAGCAGGGCCACCATCCCAGTACGAGGTCACAGTAAAGAGAGGATTTTTGTAATTACTTCAGGCACAGAGAAGCTGCTGCTGAGAGCCAAGGCTGGGAACAGAGATGTCTGGGCAGGGCTCCATCCAAGCCTCAAAAAGACTCTGGAGGGCTGAGGACTGAAGCCCTCGTTGCAGGTAAACCTCAGAGGCTCAAGGATACTTTTCAGTCCCAGAAAGACAAGTACAAGTGCAGCGTTGTAGCCCGGGGAGCAAAACCTCATCCCAGTAAGAAGCGGAACAAATTCCAGCTCAGGACAAATGCAAAAATAATAAATTGGATAAATAAAGCGCAGCCACAAAGGAAAACATGGAAAAAACCCGGACCAGCTGTGCCCTAAACACAGATGCTCAAACACACACAGCCGGGTCGGGCTCGGCTTCACCAGTCACACAAACAGATGGAGCAGAACACAGCAAGAAGACAAAGGCTCCCCTGATCCCCACGGCTCCCTCAGCCATGGAGCCAGGGCCTCCCTGGCAGCTGCACACACAGGGGCTGCTGGCTCTGGGAATAACACAGACAGCAGTTCATTAAAGCACGGCAGATCCCTCTCCCCCCTTCTCCCCCTGCATGGTTTGCTCCCCTCCTGAGGGTACCCAGGGTGAGCCTGCAGCCCTCAGCTGCCCCGGGCTCTCCAGTGTCTCTCTCAGGTGAGAGAAATCCCTCCCTCCTGCCACTGGAAAGCAGGAGAGCTTTCCCACAAGACCAGTTTCTGTCACAGCTGGAAGGACGGCCAAGCTGCTCTGCGGAGTCAGATGTAGAGGAGACAGCACAAGAACTGGGGAATTAAATAACCTGTTTTTCAGCCTCACTTCTGCCATCTCCTCCTGGCTGGATTAAAACACAGAATCACAGAATGGTTTGGGTTGGGAGGGACCTTGAAGACCATCTAGTTCCAACCCCCTGCCATGGGCAGGAACATCTTCTACTAGACCAGGTTGCTCCAAGCCCCACATCCACACTATCAAGAGAGGAAGACCAAAGGTTCGCTGGGCGCTGCCCCTGCACCCAAATCTGCACTTCCAAACAGGGGTCTTGTAGCAGGTACCAAGTGCTCACAGATGGCCTCCTTTCTCCACAGCAAACATCAGACCACTGCCTGAGCCCTTTCCCTTCTGCTGCCCTGAGCTCAGCAGTTCTTCCCATACATAGATGGCTATTTTTAACTTGCAAGACGTTTCAATCCAAAAGATGAGTAAATAGGAAAGAGGTAACTATGCAAAAAGATAATATACTCCAATATACTGGGACTCAGCTACAGGGAGAACCCAGGTGATGAGTGGGAAGACAAGACAACAAACAGCAAACAGGGTCCTTACTTCATCAAATCCCATCTTGTCAGGGTGCTTCGGAGGAACAGAGATGTACTGAGAGGGTTCAACAGGAGGGCGATCGACTGAAAGAGAGCAGAGATCCCAAACATCACCTCCATGTACATCCTGCACCAACATTTCCATCACCTTCCATTGCAGGGAGCTGGGATGAGGAGTCAGAGCAGGATGGGTACAGCAGGGAGCAGCCACATTGCAAAGCCAGAGCCAGCAGCCACGTGCCAGACAGACAACACAGTCCTGCAGCACCTTTTCCATGTGAAAGATGCATTTTTGCATTTGATATGGGGAAGTTGAGAGATTTTGTGGATGGGGCTGACCTGATCAAGAAGTGCTTACATTCCTAGGTAGAAAAGAGGTGGAAAATGGAAAACTGCATATCAAAACAGCATGAGAGCAGTCAGATCAGGCTGCAGACCGCCAAGGGAATGAGAGCTGGGCCAGTGGCAGGAGAGCTCTGCAGACGTGGAGGGATCCATCGTGGCAAGGGCACAGCAACTTACTCATGGCCTCGATCAGCGTGTGCACAAAGTTCTCAGCTTCTTCCGGCAGCGACTGGTGTGGTTTCAGGGGCATGGGAAGGAACCCGTAGTGTTCACGGTTGCAGATGAACATCTGTATTCCTGGGGACCACAGAAAAGCAGAAACTAGAATCAGGTCTGTTACCAGCAGATTTCATTGCTCTGTGGCTACGTAGCCACAATCAAACTTGTGCCAGGACCTCGATCCCAAAAAGTTCTGCTTCCTAAGCAAACAATTCAAAACCATTCCGGTGCCATCTGCTGTTCTGCCTGGCTGGCAGCAAGCAGCCTCTCCCATGAAACCAATCCCAGCTTGCTCCCTAACTAACCCTTCAAAGATATGAACTGACTGGGCAAGGAGGAATGGCTTCCCACTGTCAGAGGGCAGGGTTAGATTAGGGATTAGGAGGAAACTTCCCTGTGAGGGTGGGGAGGCCCTGGCACAGGTTGCCCAGAGAAGCTGTGGCTGCCCCTGGATCCCTGGAAGTGTCCAAGGCCAGGTTGGACGGGGCTTGGAGCAACCTGGGCTAGTGGAAGGTGTCCCTGCCCATGACAGGGGGTAGAATGAGATGAGCTTTAAGGTCACTGCCAACCCAAACCATTCTATTCTTTATCACTGCTTCCTTTTGCTTTGGTTAGAAAATAAAGACAACACATTTTCACCTGTGCTGGCAAAGGACTTTGATGAATATGTACGACAACCATCTTAGAACTGCTAAGTCTACACCAAACACGGTCCTTTCCTCTCCAAGACTATTTTTTACTGCGCCCTGAAGGTTAGAGGAAAATCCTTGAGAGAGACTCCAGCAAGGAGAACAGATGCTTTCAAACAGAGGTGATAACAGAACATTCTTCTACTCAAAAGCTTTTGCAACTGCTTTTTGGAGGGGGGAAACAAAGGGAAGCTGCAAAGTCTCTCCTAGGAGCAGGTTCCTTTGCAAGGAAGAGACCCACCCACTGCCTGTTCCCTGGGAGCATCCCAGCATCAGCAAAAGGCTGTTCCCTCTGGGATGGCAAGGATTTGCTCACCACTGGCTGTAACTGTGGCAGCACTGGGCCTGATGTCACATCAGGCAACACACTCAAAAGCCACATAGAGAGAAGCCAAGGAAAGTATTTCTGTTGTTCCTCATCGAGTTCTGGTAAGGTCCTTTATTATCTAACCCCAATCAGAGCTGCTAGAACCCACACAACCGGCAAAAAAAATGCCTTTCTTTTTCATTTTTTTTTTTTTAATGAAACAAAGACAACCACCCCCCTCCCTCTAGGAAATAAATGAAAAGCAGACACTACCTGGTGTGCTGATGCTTTCATCTATTAGTTTCTCTAATCCCTGGTATTTTTAGCAGAGCGGAATTGTCGGCACTAATGACCCCAGCATTTCTCTCATTTTAAGTTCTGCAAGTAAATTGCTGGCTATGCTACTTGCCAAAACACATTCAGCTGTCAGCTGCAATTTAGGTAAATGGCAGAATAAAAAAATACTACCTGCTGACATTAATGGGTTTGGCACTGATCTAATCAACTAATCTTATCTGGCTCACTGATCTCCGTTCTTACCTTCCGCTGGCTTAAACACCCTTAATCTGTGCAGATTCATGCCAGTATTCCTGTTCTTTCTGGGATAAAAGTTACCATAAAGTTACCATATAGGTAAAGCTCCCATAAAATGGGGAGGGGGACTCTCTCTCCAGCTCGCTTTTTATAATAAAATTGGATGATTGCTACAGAAAAACTACGTGGTTTTGCATTATTATTATTACATTTTATAAGCAGTGCCCAGGATTGGCAGCCATGCCCTAAACCCATAATTAAGGAACCTAAATTTCCTCCACATCCCTGTGACCGGACCTTCCTGCTGGCTGCTCAAGGGCTTCAGAGCCTCAGGCTGAAAGGCAGCTCAGGAGATCACACAAAGGTTTGGGTTGGAAGGGACCTTAAAAATCATCTCATTCCACCCCCTGCCATGGGCAGGGACACCTTCCACTAGCCCAGGTTGCTCCAAGCCCCGTCCAACCTGGCCTTGGACACTTCCAGGGATCCAGGGGCAGCCACAGCTTCTCTGGGCAACCTGTGCCAGGGCCTCACCACCCTCAGAAACAAGAATTTCTTCCTGATATCCAATCCCTCTGGCAGTGGGAAGCCATTCCCCCTTGCCCTCTTACTCCAGGTCTCTGTTCAAAGTCCTTCTCCAGCTCTCTTGAAGCCCCTTTGGGCACTGGAAGGCTGATCAGCCTGGCTCAACGCTCTCCTGTGAGCACAAGGGGCTCTACAGAGTACAGTGCTGGCAAAAACACACCCACAATGAGTTTTATTCAGTCAGGACTTCCACCCCGGGCCACGTCCTCTCAGCAGAAGTGGGACCATCTCTCTGAAGCATCACAAAACAGTTGCTTCCAGCAGCAGATTCCCTGTTGGAAATCAATGGCTTGATCTGAGGCATTAAGCCCAGTACCTGCCCTCAACAAAAGGCAATGTTATTTATGACTTCAGGGAACTGAAATTACTCCAAAGAGAAGTTTACCTCAAAGCCCACACATTTTTCACATTTCTGAAACATTTTGTCATCCTGTTATCCTGGGTGACAAAACTCAGCCCAGGACACAAGCCAACAATCCGAGCAGATCGATGGGCCAGACAGCTGAAGCAAAGCCTTTCATGTCATGGGTCAGTCCTGGAAAAAGCTAAAGTGCTCTGGGATGGAAGGAAAAAATGATGGGTTTGAATCCCTGAAATATTTCTGAAGCAGCTGGAGCTAATGCACTGCACTTACCACACTGCTGGGATGCTGCATTTCTGGGAGAGCTGTCACAGGGAAGAAGTGGGGGGACAGCCTGCTCTGCTATCCAGCCCTAAACCTCAATTCTCATCTGGAGCCAAGATGTGGCACTTGGGGACAGGGGTTAGTGGTGGGCTTGGCAGTGCTGGGGGAATGGTTGGACCTGATGATCTGGGAGGTCTTGATGCTGTTATTTTATACCGATGTTCTGACTCCTAAAGTCAGGACCACAGAATTGCTCTGCAAGTTCACATCTCACCTCTGGCTCCTAAGGACTCCAATTGCAGCTCTTGCTGCCTCTCCTCCATAATTTGTCTTATTTGATGCTCCTCATCCTCTCAAAGCTGATTTTAAAAATGCCCTGCTCGGTCTGCCAAGAAAACACCGTCTTTTTTGGTGCTGTCAAGACCTTCCAACCAGAAACACCCCTAAAAAGGGAAGGTACAGACAGCTGGTGGCTGCTGTGCTGTCTGGGAACGGTGGGAAGGCAGTCACAGCCCGCCTTCTCTGCAGAACAACTGCCAACAACAACAACAATCCTTCCCTTGGCTTTCTCTCTGCCTGGCTGTCCCCCAAAGAGCAGCTTTTCCTGCTTACCTTAACTTCTCTTTCACAGAGGACAGGTAGCACCAACTGCACATCACTCAGGGGACCCATACACAACTTTTTCCTGCTAATTCACCTCAGCCAGTCAGCAACCCAGTCATGATCTCTGAACAGAAGGCATTTATGGGTGTTGCCGAGCTTCCACCAGTCGCTTTTTCCTTATAATGCCCCAAACTGTGCTCTTTTCAACACAGCAGGCAAAGAACGCAGTTGGCCATCACATTAATGCCCTTCCTGGGAGTTCCTTTCAGCTGCAACACTGTGTCTGCCAGCCTGGACTTTGTTGGAGACAGAATACTCACAAGATCCACTCTCCGAAAATAAACGGGACTAAACATCCTCACCACAAGTACAAACAGCAGCAGCATCAGGCACTCAAGGGACAGTGATGTCTAGGAGACACCTGGAGCTCTCTGCAAACACCAACAGCCATTCCAGGCACAGGAAGAGGACATGGAGGTTGTGACTTGGCTGAAAAGACCCCTGAATTTCAGGGCTAACTGAAATCCTCCCACTGTCCAGGAGAACCTGATCCCAGTATTGGCCAGAGTGGTGTCCTTGCTGTGCCCCAGGGACCTCAGTGCTCTGTGTTCTCCCAAAGTACCCCTGACACAAGATGAAGTACACAGAGATTTTACTGCTCTCATACCAGCTCTAACTGGCTCTTGCCTGCAAAAGATTTCTTCTCCCTGGAAGTGTCCAATGCAGGTTGGATGAGGCTTGGAGTAACCTGGGCTAGTGGAAGGTGTCACTGCCCACAGCAGGGGGTTGGAACGAGATGAGCTTTAAGGTCCCTTCCAACACAAACCATTCTGTGACTCTGTTATTTAAGAGGAGTCACCTGCCCTCACCCCTTTCCTCATGGATCTTCTGGAAGTGGCAACTTTAGATACTTCACCTACAGACTTCACAACACCTTCTCTGTTCCCCTGCTGTGACACAAACCATGGGTGGAAGCCACACATTTTGTCTCTGAAATATTGCCCCCAGTTCAAGAACAGCTCCCACGTCCTCTGAAGCCAGCTGCAATCCAAAACTGCCTTTCCAGTCACTTGCTGCTGGTTATCCCTGACCAGAACCCAAAGAGGAAAGGGAACAGTGTCTGAACCCCCCACTGAAGTTAACACAGGACTTCTGGCCTGTGAACTCACAGTAGAGGTCTGTGTGTCTCTACGAGTGAATCCTCCCCAGCAAAAGCTCCAGACATACCTGCTTGGCGACTGGAGAAGGCAAAGACCATGATATCATCAAAGCTCCAGGTGTAATCCTGGTGGGGGGGGTAGAACACCAGCTTGGTGGAGGCCTCCTTCCTCAGGTCAATGAGGAACGTGGAATGAATCATGGGGACAGCAAAACAGCCCATCCTCTTCCATTCCCGAATCAGGGGGTATTCCAAGGTCCTTTTGTAATAGCCCTGAAATCACAAAGAGGGAGCTGCTTCAGAGATTCCTGTTTCAGAGGTGCTCCTTTGCAAAAGTTCTCACCCTGAGCTCTTCCCAGCAGAGGTGCATCAGGGCTCAACTCTCAGCTTTTTCAGCATCTCCCATTTGAAAAGGGCTCAGTCAAGTATTTAGAAACAGTCTCCATCCCAAAAGTTAAAGACTGACCTTCTCTTTCCTTTTTAGCAGTTCTTGGAGACCCAAAACTTTCCACTGCAAAATTCCCCTGCAATGGACCTTCAAACCTCAGACTATATTCTCCTGGCTCTCCAAAAACCTCTTTTTTGCTCATAGACTCTCCAGCCTGGTCCTTGAAGTTGCTGAGCCTGAGCATCCATGACATCCTCCACGTTCATCAGGCACAAAGGCCGTTCAGCGTCTCACAGAACAGGAGCTGCAAACTAATTCTGACCATGACCTTAAAAAAATGGTTTGTGTCACTGCAGTGTAAGAATCCCTGCTTCCCCCATCCCGGGGCAAGTATGTTTAATATTCACTCCTGAGCCTGTCTGGGGGAGGCACTTCAGTCAGCTCACGGGTAATTCCCTCTACCCAGGAGTTTTGCCAGCCTTCCAGCACTGTGGGGTGGAACACCCACACTCTGCAGCTCATATGGCTAAAGCCATCAGATTTGGAGATAAATGCACTAAATTAATCCAGAAAGAAAATCCTGAAACACCAATCTGACATCTGGATGGCTGAATCCAGAGCAGATTCAGAAATGATGAATCCAGGCAGATTCAGAGCCTCACAGAAATGATGAGTCATTAAAAGAAGTTAAAGCTCCATTTATATTATATTTTCCATGAGCATCCAGGCAACGGTTGAGGAAATCATGGCAGAACCACTCTACTCTGAGCTGTGCAGAAGCATGAGTGGTGCATTTGCCTGTTTATGCATCTGTCACCCTCCCCTCTGCCCTTTCAGACACCTTCTGACCACACTGTGAGGACCAGAAATCCCAAACACAGCAATCCCGACTGGCATGGAAAGGAGCACGCGGGTAGAGACCTGAGCAGCCAAAGGAAGGGTTAACACATCCAACCTTTACCAGACATCCAAGAATGCCCACAGGTGACAGACTGTGGAAACTAAACCTGCCTCCTCCAGTCACTGGCCCTGGAGTGTTGGGGCTGTTCACTGCTCATAAATCACGGGTAGTCAAGAAAGACTCCACCTCATGGGCGCTGTTGCCGTGCTCTCTCTCTCTCCCAAGGTTTGCTCCGTGACAGCTAAATGTCAGGCTGTCTGGAGCTGGGTTTGGCCTGCCGTGGCTCAGTGCCGGAGGGAGGCTGTGTTTCAGGGCATGCTCCAGCTGTTATTCCCTCCCCAAGTCCCCTGGGAGAGCAAGGCTGAGCACACGAAGCCCTGGGACTGTGCACGGAAACAAAAAGCAGCAACCGAGAGAAAACGAAAAATAAAAGAGCAACTTTGCTGTTCACTTGATCAGCTTTTTTTTTCCCACCAAATTCTACAAGACGCATTTGCTGCAAGGTTTTTCCCTCTGCTTTTCTCAGCTAATGCTGGAAACTTCCCACTGGGGAGGTAGGGCTGAGGCTGGTGCACACGGGCACAGATCCACTTCAGCCTGTGGAGCAGTGCTGACTTACACCAGTGGGAAACACGGCTGACCCAGGACTTAGCCTTAAAAACCCTAAGGACACTCAATACCTTCACTAGGAAATTTATATCTCCCTTTTAAAACAAAAACTAAAACAAGGAAACACACCTCCCCACTCCCCTTTTCTTATCTCCATATTTACTTCCCAAGGATTTAGATAGTTCAGGACCTTTTTCTGCTATTTTTATTCAAATACTTAGTCTGAACTGTGGAACTCCTTGCTATAAGATGGTGTAGGTGCCAAAAAATAGATTCAGACAGTGATTTTTGGAGAAGAAAAAAAATCTCTGAGAGATTTAAAGACAAGTATATTCCTCCAAAAAACAGAAGGGGATTGCCAGAGGATACAGAAGTAATTTGGGGAAGTATCACTCACTTTTTTTGCATCTGCAGGGAACTGTCACTATCAGATGGACCTTTCCTCTGACCCAGTACAGTTGTTATGTTTTCATCCTGCTTCTGATCCCTACTTGTGTCCCTGGTAACACTGGGAAGTAATAATGATGTTTTGTGCCAGATAAATAGAGGAAATGGGAAAATTGAGTTTGCTCTTTATTTCACTCCAGCAATAATAACAATTAACGTCAGATTAGGTCTCTGGAATAAAGCAAGAGGGTAGGGAAGGGCAGGAATGTGGAACTTGCCCCAGGGAAGCTCAGGGATGCACATGCAGCTCAGGATTAAACACATTTGTCTATGCAGTAGCTTTATGAATAAGGAAGCAAGACTCAGGCATGGAATTAAGAATGAAATCCTTAAGCTTTCCAGGGCAAACAGGGAAAAATTTTCAAGAGAATACACACTCTTTTGCTATTCCAAAGACACACAGCTTAGGATCTTGACTCCTCAAAGGATGACAATACAGAGGTCAGCAGCAGACTGGAGAACAGGTCAAAAAGCTGATCTCATTACTGAGGCTTACCTGGGAGAAAAGGCATTAACTACGGTCCCCATTTCAGGCTGAATGTTTTGTAAAGCCCATCCAGAGCTTTATCAAGAATATTTCAAAGGGAAAAAAGGCAAAGAAACACTGTGACAACAGATCTGCCTTCTATACGTTTGATTCTCTTAGCAAAACCCTTTTATGGACAAGGTGACTGTACTGGGTTTGGTTGTATGCAGTTGATTTTCTTTAAAGCTGCCTGGATAGTGCTGATTTTGTATCATTTGTTTGGGGTTTTTTCCTCTTTACTTATTAAATTATCTTTATCTCCACCCATGAGAGTTGCTTTTGGGTTCGTTTGGGGTTTTTTCCTGCTTTTGCCTTTCCAATTTGCTCCCTCGTCCCACTGGGCAGGATCCAGCAAGTGACTGGGTGGGGACTTACCCACTAGCCAGGTACACACCACAAGGATGTGGGTCAGCTTGTAAAGTGAAAGCTCAACCTCATGCTGGCTTTAAAATAATGCTGTTTGTACCATACAATATTTTTGTGTCTGATACTTTCTGTGGTTTGAAAAGGTAACATGAAACTGATTTTTTAGGCTCAGCACCAGCACCAGTTTTACATACACACCTCAGCACACACACTCCCTACAAGGTAGAGGGTGTTTTTAAACTATATCTAAGTGAGAAAAATAACTTATACACAATGGAGAGCTGTGGAAAGAAAAGCAAACTCCTCTCGGATTAGCATCACTATACAGGAAAACTAGCCCAAAATTATGCACCAAGAGTTTTTAAGGTCATTACAGAAACACATGGAACCACCTTAAAAAAAATTCTGGTCTGCATATCAGTATTTTTTGTGTAGTTAGTGGGATTGCATCACATGTTAATACCACCCTTGCACATCTCAGAGCTGCAGCAGCTTCTGTTCAGGAGGACACTACAGAAGCAGATGGGAAAGTCCACAGAACAGAAAAAAAAATGCCCATTGCTCCACAGATACAGGGCAGGAAGCCTTTGAGAACACAGCTCACACAGTCACCCAACAACCTTCACAAGGTCACTTGCCTGGGGGGTGATGCCACACCAGAAGTTGGAGTAGAGGGAGCGAGATTCGAGCATCGGTGCCACCAGTGTCTTGTTTTCTGCTATCAACAGGTTCAGGGTTTGTGGGTTGGTCAGTAAATTATCTGCATCAACAAACTAGAGGAGGAAGAGAAGAAGACATTCGATAACAGATGAAATGATATGCTTCCCCTGACACTTCCTTGGGAAGGAGGCAGCCAGAGGCACGTGATCAGCAACAGTGTGGCCCAGGGCAGTGACTGTCCCCCTGTGCTGGGCCCTGGTGTGGCACCTCAAATCCTGGGATCAGTTTTGGGCCCTTCATGACAAGAAGGACTTTGAGGGGCTGGAGCGTGTCCAGAGAAGGGAACGGAGTTGGGCAAGAGTCTGGAGCAGCAGGAGCAACTGAGGGAGCTGGGGGGGCTCAGCCTGGAGAAAAGGAGGCTCAGGGGGGACCTTCTGGCTCTGCAACCCCCTGACAGGAGGGGGGAGCCGGGGGGGGTCGGGCTCTGCTCCCAGGGAACAAGGGACAGGAGGAGAGGGAACGGCCTCAAGCTGTGCCAGGGGAGGTTTAGGTTTGATACTGGGGAAAATTTCTTCACTGAAAGGGTGGTCCAGCATTGGCACAGGCTGCCCAGGACAGTGGCGCAGTCACCATCCCTGGAGGAATTTAAAAGCCATGTGGATGTGGCCTTGGCAGTGCTGGTTTAATGGTTGGATTCAATGATCTTAGAGATCTTTTCCAGCCTAAACGATTCTATGAGTCAATAGTTGGCCAAAAAAAATCCCAAACAGTGAGCTGATGGGTTTGGCTTCATAGGGCACGCTGCTGTTACCAGCAAGCCCAGGGGCAGCTGCCCCTAGGACACGCAGTGAGATGGGCGAAGATGTGGAGCTTCCCTGACTCCACACAATGTTATACCAGCACAGGGACAAGGGAGCTGAAAGGGAAAACAGCATAGCTAAAAATTCAGGCCAAGTTTATTCTGTGAAAAGGATAAAAAATGACTCAAACTGGCGTCACACCCTTGCCTTGCTCAGGGGCTGTGGGAACATCCCCATTAGCTGCTACTGCAGTGACCAAGGGCAGCATCTTCCCACAGCTGCTCTGCAAAACTATTCCCTTACATTTCATCAGGTGGGTTTCAATCTGGGGGACCCTTGCAAGTACCTCCCACCACCAGGACTGTGTTCAATCCTGATGCCCGTGGAGAAAGCCCTGAGCTCACCACAGGACTCACCTCCCCAGCTGCAAAGTCTCTGGCTCACCAGACCAAGAAATGACCCACAACATCTCCATTTGTCTTTAGATGGAGAGAAAACTTTTCGACAGCCCCCAGTATCCAAGTGACCACCTGAAAAGCTTTTGCCTGAAGGCAGTTAATAAGTCAAAGCCTGTATTTACCAGGATGTAGTCTGACCACTTCTCCCGGGCAGCACGCAGGGCAGCCTGGCGCAGCTTCATCACGTGAGTGAATCGGGAGCTTGGCCAATGTTTTGGACCAATTTCTTCTGGGTAAGATCTAGAAAAGGAAAAAAAAATTGACTGCAAAACATGTCTGGGCCTTATTACACCAGCCAAAAAAAAAAGAGAGAAAGAGAGAGAGAGAGAGAGAGAGAGGGAGAGTTCCCTTGATGCCTTCATGCCGAAAGGAAAACAGCGTTAAGAGTCACCTCAGGCAACCCAGGAGAGGTTTTGAGGGAGAATGATTCCAAGTTCTGTGCTGGCATGAGCACAGAGGGCACCAGGGAACAAGCAGTGCCACAGTGTTTCCTGATGACCCAGCAAAGCAGCACCATCCAACCCAGGAACTCCTTCGGCAGAGGGTACCCCCCAAAATGAACTGCAGCTGATTTACCCCGTCTGACCCTCTGGTAGAAACTCATCTGCCCCTCTGGGCTGCAAATCCAGCTCCCTTCAGCCCCGCAGAGTCAACAAAGCTGAGCTGTGAAGATGAAGGCAATCCGGATTCCATCGGGGTCTGGGCATTATTAGGAACTGTTAACACATCCCGGGAACAGCTCTTAAGTCTCCAAACACCCAACACCCGACCCCAGGAGCCCCATCACGTCACCACAGTTGTGTGCGTGGCTCTATTCCCAGGGTCAGGTCCAAAAACAAAGGCTTTGTAACAAAGATGTAAGAAAACTTAGGAATAGATCCCTACGTGGAATAAAAACGCAGGACTTTTGAAACAGCGCCTGCATAAGCCAGGGAAGGAGCTAAGAATTTCAAAAGCTTTTGGCAGAAATTAAAAAAGCCAAGTTTCACAGGAAGAAAACTCAATTCCAATGAAAGGATTAAAAATGTCAATAAACCCAGCATTCCCTGTGGATTTGTACCACAAATACCCAACCACTGCACCGAGGACCTTGAAAATAAAAGCAAGCCTAAAGGAAGGGGAAACTGATGTAATTTTCCTTGATGGAAGAAATAGAAAACAGAACAAAACCAGGAACAGCTGATCTTAAAAATAAATAAAAATTAAAGCAATAAAAACCCAACACATCATATTTCAAAGCAATGGCCCTGCAAATCATGCAAAGGCATAATATACTGAATTAAATCTAGTTCTCTGGCTCAGCACTTACTGAATAGTTGATGTCTCAGAGCTTTCATACATATTACAGGAACAGGCTACGATTTCTCTGCTTCCTTGCAAATAAAGCATGATAGTTTTAATTCCCTGTAGCTCTTGATGTGGTTTGTTTACCATGCAAAGAGAGCAGCTGCAGATGCTAAATAACTGAATGGAAAATGCTTTCTTCGAAGATTTGCATGAGCTGCTTTACTGAAGTCAGAGACCTCTTCACAGAGACCCTACCCTTACCTTTTTTTCATAAGAACACAATTTTAATGGGACAGACGCCACGAAATAAATAATCCACATTTTAATGCTTGGACATTTAGTACAACTCCTGGTTTGGAAACAGCAAACCAGGTGAGCCCCTCGCTGTGGTACTCACTGGGGTTCCTCCATTGGTCTCCACTCCACATCGTGGTAGAGGTGCTGCACGTTCTTCAGCCACTCCCTGAGGATTGCTGTGGTGTTGTCAACGTTGTGGTCAGTGGCTGCCCTGGGAAAGCAGGGACAAAGGAAGCATGTTAACACAAGATTTAAGTCCTTCGCCTAAATCCCTGCTTTATCACTGGAAAAGACAAGACAGGCTGTTGTGGTTCAAGCCCAGCTGATAACTAAGCTGCTCTCTCAGTCTCCCTTTCCCTGTGGGATGGGGAGGAGAATCAGGGAAGGCAAAAAACCTGTGGGTTGAGATAAGAACAGGTTAATAACTGAAACGTGCCGATAGAGGAGGGAATGTTTTTGAGCAGCAGAACTGCACAGACTGGAACAGGAGGCACAGATCCACAACTCTGACAGCAACCACGTGGAAATGTTCCCGAAGGAGCCACAGGCTCCTCTCTGCCTGGGATCCTCAAGGCTTCAGGTCCCAGGGCGAGCAGGCCAAGTCAGATCCCAGCTGCTCCTCCCCAGCTGCCTTTCCCTGGGACCAGGGCTTTGCACACCCAACCCCTGGTCGCTCACACGGCCACGGCAGATTCCACAACTAATTCCCACCAGTGAAAGGGCTGCTCGTTTTTCCTGGGTGGAAGGCAGGAAAGCACAGCCCCACAGCAGGGCACAGCTCAGTAGGCTCCACTGGGAATCTGTAATCCCTTCATATTCCTCTGGGAGTATAAATACTCCTAAGAGATCCCCCGGAGACAGTAAAGATAGTGTGGAACACATCCCTCAGGGGAGGGTGCTGGAAGCCCCCTCAAGTGCTATAGATTTCCTGTTGCATCCTCCAGCTCCAAAGACACAAAGGCACTTCCCAGAGCATCCTCCACCCTGCTTCTACCCAGAGCTACCTACGGTCAGGGGAGGGCACACAGAAGGGACAAAGGGAGTTTGTCCTAATCCCTAGGGCTATTCCAAAGCTTTATCAGGAAAATACCTCCACTCCAAGTCAGTGTATTATCCTATAGATGAAAACCAGGGCATGAACCCTTTTTAGTTCAAACCACTGGAAGATATAATTCCCATGGGGTTTAGCCTGCTTTAAATTAAAAAAGAATCAAGAATTCAGATTTTCAGTTTATTTATAATCAGAACACCATGATCACTTAAGGTCAGGAAGACTATTTGTTGAATATTTATTTATTCCTGTCTATTGAAACAATAAATACTGAGAGTTCAGCAAATGAAGAGAGGCTGGTTCCTGTGTCATTAACTGCTCTCCTGTGACAGAGCAAAGCTGGGCTTAGTCATTGCTTCTGATCAAGACCCTGGGCCAGACTGCACTGTAGATCTAGTCTGCAGTGATGTTTAAACTGGACTAAACCAGTTGTAGTGCTGATTTGGTATAAGTCCAACTTGCTCCATATATTTTAGGGATGAAATTCATCCCCTTGAGCCCATTTTCACACACTTCCTTGGCCTCCCACACCCACCGTGGTGTTCTGCTCTCCTCCCACGCTCCAGCTGCACAGTCAGCAAACAACAGCTCCAGAATTCCTAAAATACCAGAGGATTGTGAAAATGGCTTTATGTTCATGGTCATCACTGGAGCTGCAGTGGCACCAAGAAGGTCCTGCTATACAGTAGGACCACACTGCAATTAGGCCGCACACAAACAAAGCAAAGATGATGGTGGCCACCCTGATGAACATCGTAGTTCATCCCACAACATACTCTTTGCCAGGTCCAGACTAACCTTAAGGATCCTGCAAAACCTTAAAGAAAGCACACAGCTCCCACAGAGTCAGGTCCACGTGCCTCTTCCCCCTCAGCAACCCTCATCCCAGTCCTTCTAAGCTCACTGGGGACACATGAAGGGATTTGCTACAGTTTGGGGAGGGAAAGGGGAAGCTTCAGCTGCCTACATGTCAAATTAATCTCAGTTTTATGTTGGCTGCTCCCATCTCAGCCAGGAGATCCCTTTCCATTCAACTTTGTGCACATACAAGCCCAAAATGTATTAGATGGGAAGCTGTTTGCAGGGATGTGCACGGGAAATCCAGAGCTCACAAACGAAACACAAATTTCCTTGACAATGTAAAAATGTTGAGCCATTCAACCTCAGAGAAAATTGTTAATGTGATGGAAGGCAGTTCCTCAATTACTTCATGAAGCCCAAAACTTTGACTGGCAGAAGAAGCTTTAAAGTTGAAAGACAGTGGTTGGCAAAGCTACAAGACCTTCTTTGCTTCCCGAGGCACAACAAAGGGACTAAAGGTTGCTCTTCCCATCACACCTGGAGTTCTCCATCCTGCTCCCGGTAAGACAACAGGCCCTTGACAAAATTCCCCCTGAAGACCCCAACAGCTAAGATCCTCCAGCCAGAAGTGAAACACATGAATGGGAGGTTAAAGCAACCTCTAGATCTACCCACATGGAATCTGCTAGAAGAAAAACACCATTTTCCAACCCAAACTGTTCCATGAGTCCATGATTTCACTGCCCAGGCTGCAATGGTGATACACAGAAGGTAAATTCACATCCCAGTAGACCTTTCGAAGACTTTGGTGAGACAAGGCTCTGGCACAAAGGACAGACTGCTTTCTCCAGAAATATCCACCCAGCAGCATTTCTAAGCCCAAAAGTTCTCAAAGGCAATAAAGTTTGTTCTGCCCTGGATGAAACAAGCCCTATGACTAGCAATTTGGCAAACCTTTGTTTTTCCAGCTTTAAGCCTCAAAAACCAACCCAATCGAAAAAAAAAACCAAAAAACCAAACCCAAAAAAATAACCCAATCTGTTCCCAAAGCAATTACCACCATTAGTTCCAGAATAATTAATTTAAGGTCGAACAGAATCAGCACTGACTCCTATTGTAGTATCTGAACCAGCCCACCTTTCCTCTCAGGAAAAAAACCAGCACCTTTGGTGTTTGCAACAGCACTCTACGGAAAAACAGGCACATACTTATTTTCCTCTTTTTTTGTTTAATGACAACCCCTGCACAAGAAAAACAGGCAAATAAAAATGCAAGCAGGACTTCTCACTGGCAGCCAGAGCTCCTCAAGCCATGAGAGGCACATCAGGACACTCCACATTATAAACACTTCTATAACAGACACTTTGTGGGACCTCGACGTGTCTCCTCTGTACGTCCCACGAGTCAGTTTGATGGGGAGAGCACATTCATAAGAGATGTTATCATCTCTCCTCTCCTGCCTGTCCTGGAAAAGTGTTTTTACTACATCCTCTGATCCTTACTGGTCCATGATCTGCACTTGATAGGGAGAGGAGAGTGGATCCCTGCAACCCAGCTCAGCTTAGCTCACTCAGACACAGCTCAGACACCAGCACGGCCCTTGGGCTAAGGCAGTGCCCAGATTTTTCGGTGAATTTTTTGGAAGCAGGTTGGTGAGCACAGCATTATTATTTGAGTGAGAGCCTATCAGCACTACTGTTGACCTGGCATCAGGTTCAAATCATGTTTTTGAGTGCATCAGTTGGAAACATTTGTGCAGACAAGAAGCAGCAGGAGCTTTGAGAAGATGTGTCTAGTGCAAGGGCACAGGCAGAGGAGAGGTGAGGTGGCTGGAGGAGCACAAGTCTTTCCCATCATTCCCAAATGTTTCACCATCTTCATGGCTCTCTGCTGGATTCCCTCATGTTTGTTAACATCCTTCTTCACCAAGGGGGCTCAGAACCAGACGTGGCATTTTAGATGTGATCAAACACACCCTGAATCACCGCCAAAGGTTCTTTCCTTCCCAGGTGCAAGATGTGCTGAAGTTCAAGAGTTTCCCTGCAGGCACCTCTCAAAGCCAACACACTCTGCCTGCAACCAGTGACTGGGGGAGAAGACTGAAACAGTTGGTTTCTCTCAAAAGGGACAGGTTACATCCATGATGGTTGCACTGAAAAGGAGGCAACTTCATTTTCAAGAGCCGATTAACAACATCCAGAATTCAATTAGAGAAAAAAGGTCCCCTGCAAGATTTACAATCTAAAGCCTGTGCAATACAACCTGGAAAAAATGGAGTGACAAGGAAAAAAAAATTCAAATTCCTGCCAAGCTTTTCTGAAAAGAAGTTTAATGAATAAATCGGAACACATCTCCAGATGGACACTCCTATTCCTATAACATGGCAGCTTTTTCCACTTGGATTTAAACCCATTTACCATAAACACAAGTTAAATTTTTGAAAAGTTTGAGGGGGAATGTTCATATAGGGGCTTTTGTCAGCATAACTATCACCTCTGCAGTATTTATTTTGGCTTTAACCAGTAGTCATATCATGGACACAAGCCCTCATTGTCCAGGCTCAGCAAAGGCACCCCCTCCCAAAAAACTCACAGATCATGAATAGGGGAAAAGTAAAACACGACATTAAGCACCTACTGTGAGTAGCAGCATATGAGGAAAACAGCTCCTTTTACAAACTGCTCCTAATTTTAGCTTGATAATGTCTCCTCAACCTATGTTTGCAAGGAGGAGCTAATTTAAACTTCGATGGTTGTTCTCTTTTCCTCTCCAAAAAAGGAACTAAAAATACAAATAAAAGTAACAATCCCCCTTTCTCACTTCTTCACACTCCAGCCTGCTCTCCCAAGCTATTTGCAGTTTATTTACTTCAGGCACTGGGTCAGAGAAGAAAATTTTTACCTTCACCCTCTGTTTAGGAAAAATACTAGAGGACAAAACCCACCCTGTGTGCTGCCGGCTTGTCAGAATATGGGTCATTCTGTGACACAAATTGTGGGAAACTCCACAGCCAGAGGGCCCTGCAGTAATTTTCCTACTGAATTCAACATTTAGCACCTCTTCTCTTGAGCAAACGGGGTGGGAGGGACAGCTTCAAACAGGGATCAGTACTGCACCTTCAAGATGTGTGCGCTGCGAAGTTAGGACTGGAGGCAGCCAGCTTTCAAAAACAAAAGCTCTAAGGAGGATCCTTTCCCTTTCTGACAGTGTTTTGAAGACTGCTGGGCTTGAGGAAGGCGTTGAGGAACTCAGACACACCCAGGTTCGAGAGGGCCCTTCCCATCACCCCGCTGAGAACACACAAAGGATGACAATGCTCAGGATGCTGCTGGTGGTTGGGGTTGCATTGAAAAGGGCTC